CAACGAAAAGCAGGTGCATACATGGGAATTGTTTCTAGATTACTGAGCCCAGCTCTTCATAGCTCTTGCTGTAGAATTGCTTCTGAATTGTGAGCATGTCAAAGCACTTTTGCTCCACACACAATGAAATTTTGGCTCCACTGAAGTATGCCGTGAAACTTCCATGTAATACTGAGAGCCAGGATTCCACTTTGGCAGCTTCAAATGTTTGAGAAGGTTCAGTGTCAGCATAGAAACATTACTTGTGTTCAGGAGAGAGGCTATGCATGAAAACATGCAACATTTCAGGGTCAGTTAAGTATTCCTCAAGACATTTCTTCTATTGCAGTATTAAGGAATTGGTTTGAAGATACAGGGCATTGTCATTTGTTTCCTCATGAGTGAGGCATGATAAATGAACACAAATGAAATACAGGAAGTTCAACTTAAATATAAGAAAAATCTTTCCTCTGAGGATTCTCAATCACTGGAATGGATTACCCAGAAATGCTGTGGAGTCTCCATCCTTAGAGATACTCAAAACACAAATCAGCCTCCAAAAGTCCCTTCCAACATCAGCTCTATCATTCTGCATATAACAGTATAGCACAAAAGCAAACATTTAACTGCCATTTATTTTCCTCCACAGGTCTCCTATCAGAAGAAACTGCTCTTCAGAGGCATGTGATGTCTACTGGCGGACAGGCCCTTGGAGGCCTTGCAGTGTGGACTGTGGGACTGGATTTCAGTCAAGACAAGTGTATTGTGTACACAGAAAGAATAACAAACTTGTGGCTGATCAGTACTGTGGATGGAGGAAGAGACCAGTGACCTGGCAACACTGCAATGGCACAGCCTGCAGCAGTGTGTAAATGTTTATTTATATATGAGCATAGTAATAGTTTGTAGCAGTTATATTAGAAAGTGACTCACAGTTGTACGCTAATGATTCTGCAAGCATTTGATTGTACATCAAAGGTAAAACTATCCTCTCCAAGGAGTACTTCACAGTCCTGGGGTTATTTTTCTCTGAGTAGGCCAGTTTGATATTAAAGCCTCAAAAGCACTTTTAGAAACAGGATATTTAGGAAGTTGTTTTATGCAAACTTCCCTACATGACTGCGCCAGTTGTGACTCATGAGTCTCTGGGCAAGCTGTTAATTCCTGAAAGATGGGGTAGTTTTATGAAACAGAAAATAGGTAAACGGATGCAGTGAGATCACACCTCTTATTTGTGACCTAGCTCAGCTTGGAGTCCACTGCTGCCAGAAATGCAAAGTAAAATAACTGCAAAGCTACCAAGGAATCCATCAGTTGTTTACAATTACAACAATAAGTTCTACTATTTATCTTTTGTCCATTACAAAGCCTTTTAATGTTTAAATATATTTTTTCAGAAGGCAAATGCAAGGATACAACTCACTACTGTACATTTGCAAAGCAACTAAAGTTATGCTTGATAGACACCTACAAAGATGTGGTCAGTCATGTCAAGAAGCATAACTCTTCTGTGGAAAGTTCATGTTGCAGTGAAGAGTGAGAAGAGAGGTTCATTAAACTAGCCTGCTCAAAGTATACATTTGTAAATAAGACATTAGTCATAACAATAAATGGAAACGTGGGGCTAATGAAAACCCAGTATTGCAAATTGATATGCTGGACAGAGCAATTTTTCTGGAAACTTTTATTATCCACTCTCTGCAATGGAACTTTTAATGTTTTAAAGATCTTTGTGTCTGGATTAGGAAGATAACATCATGACATATCATCTGTAAAAATTTTACATTTCAATTTCATCAGGGGAAAAAGCACTATCTAAAAGCACCAGATAGTGCTTACTGTCCTTAACTTATGAGAAAAGCAAAGCCATAAAATCCTTTGAAGAATTCTGGAATGCAGCAACTGTTGACCCCTAGGTTTTGTTTTCATTGTTTCATCAAATTCAACACATTTTTTAAATTTATAGAAACTGTGGCCTGTAGCTGTAAAGTATTTGGCAGCAACTTTATTTTCATAAACAGCTTGAGCTTAAGGGTTGATCTCACAGGGTATGTTTACTGATATTAGCTGTCAGATGGATACACAGAAGTACATTCAATTTTTTGTACTTCTAGTGATGTGTATGCAGTAAGAAACATTGTAGATGCTAGTGCAGTTTTCAAAACAGCAATAGATCTGTTTTGAATAAATGGGGTGTCATCTTCCGTTGTTTCTGCTCTTCTACTCCAGCCATTTTAAGTACGGTTGAAGTTCTGACATGATTGGACTTTTCTACTGATTTCAAACTAGACACAAGGCTTCCTTGTCAGAGCTGTGAATGAAACATTTGTGAGCACTGTTATCTTCCACATCAAGTCAAATGGGGAGCCACTAAGTGGCCAAAATGGCTGTCACGTTTTCTGTCTTGAATAAGTTGGTTCCCCCCCCCATTAATGTCCAAGAAACAATCATTGATTATGAAGATAGACAAGTGCAAGAAATCTATTTTGAGCAGTTTCCATCAATATGACTTTTCATCATGACCATGAGCTATGAGCTTTTTTGTTAAAATCTGATTATGATATTCCCAGGTAAATTATTTTCCACGTAGCAGATTGTCTCATTAGGGCTGCAAGCAGAGAGAACCCCATAAGAGACAGCAAATAGATGTTTTTTTTTGTAGTTTCCAAACTACTGCACATACTGCAGATCTGAATGCTTGTATTGACTTGGATCTACATTACACACTAATCAGTGGACATGCTGTAAGAACAGTGTTAGAAACAGCATTCCTGCACAATGGGTTTGCATCACTGAAAATTAGATTAGCACTACTGTATAGAAAACGTTTAGTGTGGACTATTGTGTCAGAGGCTGACTGCAAGGAGAGGATATTCCTGATCAGTACCTTTTTAATAAGCGATGGGTCTTGATTGTTTAAGCAGTTTTTTAAATTAAAAGAAAACATTTGTAAGATACTTTTGTAGATATTTATTGTCTGATTTTAAAAGTGCAATATTTTTTGTACAGTGTTTCATAAAGATTTTTGACATATATTTTTTCTTATTACCAAAATTTCTTATTCATGTTTTTCCTTATATTTAAAGCCTTCAAATGTTAACAAATAGCTTGTTTGGTTTTTTTTGCTTTATCTTTGGTTAAGTATGCATGCTATACAGAAGCAGTGCTGTAAATGTTTGTTTTTGCTATTGGCATGACACTCCTCTGTAGATTTATTTTATTGCTTCTCCAATAACTGAAGATTTTACTTTCTTGAACGTAGTTTTGATATTTCTAAAATAAAGTCTAGTTTGATTATTCAACACTGTGATTACCAGGAGATTGTTTGTTACTGTGCTTTTCATGGTAGCTATGCTTTCATTCCAAATGTTATTTTATCAACCTGCTATGTGCATAATTCTGAGGTTTTACCAAAGCTAAGATTACTTCTTATTTTTTACAACTTATCAGACAGATTCTCAGCTTCATTACAATCTGCTTTGTATTGCTATTAAGAGGCACCATAGACGTAACCTGACTGGAAAAGTAGGGCAGAGAATTTGCCAAAATCCAAATAGATCAGATCTGACTCACTGAAATCTAGAATCAGGATTCTGTAAAAAGGTGGAATATAGTTACATTTCTTTGCTGTCTGCAATGTACTGCACTAAGCAGAGTTCATTTACATCCAACAGAACAGCTTTATGTTTTAAATCTAGTGGATGATGGGAATAGCCAATGCAAAAAATCTGGTTTCAGAATTTCCATTATGTGTAATAGTATTTAGAAAGAAGAGTCTCATAAATAATATGAACAAGAAAAGCCTTAAAAAATTTATTAAATTGAAAATAAATGTCTAGCAATAAAATGGTAGTGTTTCAGTTATCCTAAATGGTAACACTGGAAAAGTGCATGGATCTATTTTATTCTCCTTTTGTGTCACCAATGGATTCTTTCTGTGCAGTCTGTATAGCAGTTCTGTGGAGCATGCTGTATAGCATACTGCCTGAAAAGCACTTTCAGAATACCAATTGAATCCATGAGTAACTTTTCTGCTTATACATCTTGGTTTAGCATGACATCATAAAATGCTTTTTAACAGCTGTTATTTTGAGAAATATTAATTTTCCAGCCTCCTGTTCATTTTGTCTGCTTTTCAATAACATGTTGCTTATGAAAAAGTTGAGCTCAAGTATTGAATACTGTCTGAAGGTTTATAATATCATTTGATGTTTTTGCTGGAAGCACAATCAGTAGGCTGTGGCCCTTTCAACTGTAATGTAATAAAGGCTTCTCTCTTTCAGCATTAAACTTGGGGGAAAACATTACGGGTGAAAGGAAAGGGAATATGTCTCCTGCACCCTAAAAAAGTCTTCAAACACATCTGCAGAGGAACTATTAAATGTATCCGAATATGCCCTCTACTTCCTCCCCAAAATTTTTGTACTGTGCTGGTAGGTGGCAGCAAATCACTTTCCATAACTTAAGGGGAGGGGAAGTGACTTAAGAACTAAAAGAACATCTGTGAAAATTACAAAAATCATGTGGGCTCACTCACAGACCCAGAGGAGGAGTGATTTTTCAGAACATGCACACATAACTTCATGGATTCAGATTGCATTTCTCAATGAGGTATTTTTCCTCCCTAGAAAAGAGACCTTGCAGGATCTGAGTAAGGGTATTCTGTAAACTTCTCATGAGCTACCAAGACTGTGTATAGGATACAGGCTTGGGTAGGTGTAACTATGCACAGTTTTAACTTTGTTTTCCCAGTTGTGGTCAGAGAGAGAATGGCTCAAGTTCCATAAAGAAAAAGGTGTTTGTAGTTTGTTTTCTTCTGTGGTTTAGAAAGATGACAATGAATTGCACTTTTTCCTGTCCTAGTTCTAGGTTATCACAGCTTTACAATCCCCTTGCTCATTCTCAATCCAAAACGTCTTTACCAGCTGGGGACATGAATAATCTTCAGAGGAAATGTTAATTGAGTTATTGTTTCTTTAACAGTCATATTACAACAACACAGGACAAAGGCAAACATTACATAAAAGTAACTGACGCTTTAATAATGTCTGGAGCTCTCTCATGCAACGCCTTTATTCACAGCTAATATACTCAGTTCAGCTTTCTTCCTTGCATAGGATCCAGTTCCTGCTTACAGTGTGTATCCGTCACCAATCTTAGTCCTTTTATTGGGGATTTGGTTATGAAGTAGGAGCACATAATTCTTTAGAACCCAAATGACTGCCCTATAGCAATGTGTAAAAGATCTGCAATACTGAAAAAAATCATACTGGAGTAACTGTGATAGAACATGATACTGTTAATCATAGAATTATTTATTGGGTCTTGCTTAAATCATGAAGATAATAGGACTGAAATGAAGTTCATCTAGATTTCTCCAAATTAGGTAAAGATACATAGAGAAAATACGAAATATCTCATACAGAAGCATAATCACTGCATGTACGATTTCTGGAAAAATGTTGTTTCCTGTGTTTTTTAATAAGTAATTCTTTGAAGAGCAGACAGGCTCAAGCCAGGCTGTGTACAGATTCCTGCATCTTGGCTGATATTTTTTTTAACTTAGTTTACACTGTTTTCTGTTATCTCTACATACACCTTTATAGTTTTCTGCCATTTTCCCCGTCAGACTGACTCTGTTGTGAACTCAGGCAGTGATAACAGGCTGCTTGGCTTTAAAAATCAGATAGCAGGATCAAAACCTGCAGCAGGAGGATGTTAACTTTTTTGAGCCTGATTCTTTTTGCTTCCTCACCATCTACCTTAAAAACTTGAAAAACAATCATCTTTGAAATCTGTTTGTAAAATTTTATTGAATTTGAAAACTGGGTTTAAAAGTTACCCAGGTGGGAAGGTCACAGTGTGTCTGTGTGTCCAAAGCTGTTTCCTTTGGGAGTGAGGCTGAAAAATCATGGTCAGGAAAATCAGGAAACAGAGCCTAATGATCTGCTTTTTAAGTCTGGGTGATCTCAGGTATGTGTACAGGAGCAGAGAAAGGATACTTCTTATTAATTGCTGTTAGAAATTAGAAATTTGTACTGTCTTCAGAACTGAATGAAGGAAAGATGAAAAATACTAAACTCGGGCTCTCAGGAATTCTGAGGTGTGATGTGATGCTATCTTATGAATTGGGCAGCAAAATGTAAAGAAAAAATATCTTCTTATCAGATTGCTCAAAGTATTGAGATGGAAAACTGGACTGATGAGCTAATTATTTAGATCACAGCACTATTCGCTTACTATGAAAACAAATTCTGATCACAAGATACTTGTTATTTCACAAATACAATTCTGATTTGTGGAAAATCTGAAAGAATTAAGTGTACAATACCTATGCTTGAGATGGAGAGTAATAAAATTTGGGAAGTCAAGGAAACTAGAGTGTGTGATCAGAAAAAAAATATATTCTGTATAAGGTGAATTATTCCTATAGAATTTGGCAAATTTCTATTATTCTTGTAATAAACTTCTGGTTTTGCTTTCATTTCCTTCAAGTTATTAGTTTAAATACTTTTAAAAGCAAAATTTGCATTGTTTGCTTTCAGTGTTATGTTAAAGAAAAAAGTTAACAAGTAGGGCTTCAATTAATTAATCAGGGTGCTTGAAATACTGCAGTTCAGTATTATGACACAACAGCTATTTCCTTTGGAATAGGATTACTATTCGACTTGGAAAATTCTTGAGTAAGCCGGCGAAAGAATTTGTGACCATGAGAATCTGTTTTTACATACACATAACCTGGAGGAGATGAAGAATTTGCTGGGCAGATCTCCGGTTTCTTTGGAGTATATTCTGTGTGATACACAGTTTCACCTTGAAAAGGGCCTGAATTAAGAGCTAGAGCAGGTGCAGGTTTGAAACTTTGTGCTGGAGTGATCTGATGTGGTATGTAATGAGATTTGAATGTCGTTAAATCATAAAATTTTCCCATGGGTTTTGGAATTTCCTGTTGTTTCTTAATAATCTCTTGCCGACAGGTACCCCAAGCTTTAAAGTCTTCTTTCATAGTAGTACTCCCTTGAAAAGGGGCATTGGTTGTTCTTCTATTAGAAACTGGTCTTACGGGGAGAGCAGGAAAAATTTCATGCTTAATGTAATCGAGATGGCTTCTGGAGTTAAAATCCATGCTGCCTGGCGGTGGAACATACTCTCTGGTTTTGCGGACCTTCGATAAGGAGACCAGCCATGGCTGAAAACGATCCTGGAATTCAGTGACTCCATTAAAATGAGCATTGGAGCCAACTTTTGCAATTTCAGGCTTGCAGCTTTTTGCAAGTTCCCCAGGTAGCCCTTTAAAATCATTCCGGTGGGTTGTGAGATCTACGAAGGGTTGGTTGCTTGGCTTGTATTGTTCTTTTGGTCTTCTGAATTTTGGTTCCAGTTGATGAGCAATGTAAGAAGTGCGATGGCTGGTAGCACCATCGAAAGGCACATCTGAAAGCTTGGCTACACAAGGAGGTTTAAAACTTTGTCTGGGATTTAACTCCTTAGGAACAAAGTCATCTCGAAACGTAGTAGAATTTCCAGACTTCTCTGTAGGTGGGTGGTATATACGTATCGCTTTAGCAGCTTCCCTTCTTTGAACTTCCCATGGCCTGTAGTCATCTTTAAAGCAAAACCAAAACTTCATCATACAAGTGTAATTACTTAATACCATCCCTCTAAAATTAAGCCAAATTATCCTGGTATTAAATCTTGCAAAACAAACACAATGGAGGTGAGAATGATAAAGTTTTCTGCATGTATGTGATATGACAAAACTATCTTCTATTATTCGTGTGATGAAAAAAATAACCCAAAAAATGTAAATGATGTCCTAATTTGACTATATCCTCAAGGAAAATGTTGCATGTACATATTTAGTGTGTGTTCTATATATAGAAAATAGCCTACTTGTATGTAGGCTAAATAGAGTATTTCAATTTCCTTATAAATTATAGTATATAACTAGAATGTATTTATATAAATGCATTTCTATCTAGCATAGTCTTAAGATTAAAGAAACTAGTGAAATATAACTGTTGTTTTTTTTAAGAGTCTTTTCCCCAGGGTTTACCCTTCCAACTCTTTCTGTCTCTGTCCTCTTCTCACTTTGCATGAAGCATTCAATCTTTCTGTTTTAATAACCATACCTGATTCTTGTTATTTCAACTATTTTGGCACTTTAACTAAAACCAACTTTTGCCTCAGACAGTATAACTAAGCATATGTTAGAATTTTTCTCCTTCTAACCAAGAAAACCTTAAAGAAGGCTTTTTGTAGAACCAATAAACGTCACCTCTAGAGTGCTGAATATTTTAAGCCATCATCACCTGCTTTCTATTATGTCTTACTCTCTGGCCCAAACTAAAAAAAAATCCAGTTTCTGATATAGGTAATGCAGAATACTACCTTCATTTTGGTTATTTCTCTTTCTGAAAGTGGCATATATTATTACCTTGATAGGTTGGTATGGTATCCATTTTTCTTCCTGTAGTGTGTTTTCTCTCTAGAGGTCTTACTAATGTGACTGGTTTTATTTTATGAGCATTGTAATCTTTCTGGTATGTGGTTCCCAGTTCCATCTCTCCTGTCTTTGGTTTATATTCTTCTTGTACCTGAAAATGTTGCTTCATGATATTGTGTGGTATATAATCAGATCTGAAATGGGGAAAAAGAGAAACAGTGGTTAAAAAACTTTTTCTGATGGAGGCACTTTTGTCATTTTATCATTATATGGAAAAATGAGCACTTATAATGTTTACTCTGAGAAATCAATCTGAGGCCATATGTTAGAGGGATAGCAAGGAGGAAAGAAAACCATAACACATAAAATACGGGTACATTACATTAAAAATATATGCAGTACACAGCCAATCTTGCAGAATGCATTTGGCCATTTTAATAAATACACAAAGTTTGCCTCTTGTCCTTGTAGCTGAAAGGAAAAAAAAACGCATTAAAAGTATTAAAAATAAAGGTTTGTGCTCCTGTCACATTATTGAAAAGGAATGAGTGATGTCTTTTTCCTGACTACTTGAAAGATGCTTTTTAATTTTGTCAGCTAAACATCAGTCTATACACTAACAGGAAAGACCTACTGAACCACTTCAGAGATGGTTTTCTTCAAATATCTAATAATCTAGAAGTGTTTGAATAAAATAAAAAGAAAAAATCTCTGATATTTTAACTTAAGGTTTAATCTCCCCCCAGTCTCAGATTCCACACATGTATTACAGCAAGTTCCCCAGCTTGCCAGCTTGGTCATGCCAGATGAGATCTGGATTTCCAAAACAGGCTGAAAACAAGAACAAAATTTTTTGGTTATCTTTACAGGTTAGAGGATTCTCTAAAGCATGGAAATCCTGTTGTATGAGTGCTTCATGGTTTTTCAGTGACTTTTTGTGGTAACTGTATTTCTATACTCAGAATTTATACTTTTATATATGCTAAAAGTGTAAAAGATGTAAAGATTGCATTTTGAAAATGATTGCAATACAATTTTCAGCCCCCCCTTAAAAAAGAAAATATGAAAAAATGTATGGAATAATTATGAAACACATTGCTTCAAAACACTTACTTAAATGTTGTAGTTCCTTCCATTTTCCCATGATGCACTTGGTACTCTTGTTTTGGCTTAAAGCTCCAGGGAGGAGATATGTTGCTATACTTGAGATATTTTTCCACATACTCTGTTGTGAGGCACGGCTGTTGTCCATTATCATAAACCCTTGTGGGTTTATGAAGGCAGCGATGGCGCCTGGGTAAAACACATCAGATGAAATCATTTTGAATAGTTTCATTTAAGGGAAAAAAAACGTACTCTATCTATGGAGTGGATAATGGATGTGGAAGATTGAACAATGTCACTCGCTGTGCTTAAAATGGTTTCTGAGTGATAAAACCCCCAAATCCTGTGCTGACTGCATAGGTCCCAGAGCACTGTATGCTTACGCAGTAACGAACAGCATCAGCATGCAAGTTAGTCCTTAATACAGAATATGAAGGATGGATACAGCTGATCTCATTCCTCTAGATGATGCTACCACCAAGATGCACCTTCTCTTTTGTTTTAATCCTTAGTAATATTGCTAGTCTTATATGTAAAAATAACTATGGTTCATTTATCCTCTCATATTGCCTCTTTTTGACTGTTTCCCCTCATTGCTTGTCTTTATTTCTGTGCCTCTGCTCACCTATTTTCACCACAACTCTTGATTAATGTTTTTTGATTAAAATTGTAGGGGTGTGAAATCTTCTCTGTGCTTCTAGAGCTCTGCAGGCCATTTCTGATATTTCAGCCTTTTTTTTTTTTTTTTTAAAGGAGTGACTAAACCCTCAATCCAAAATTATGTTTAGAAATAATGACATCTGTTTTTCTTAGTAGGTTTTATTTCAATTACACCTGCTTGACATTGCCTATTTTAATGACACCATTGTGTTAAAAGGTATTGAGATATAATGACTTAATTTACTACTTATACCTGTTATTTTGAGTAAATTTTGCATGAAATTAAAATGCACCCATTATTTTCTATATTGCTGTGAAAACCTTGTTATTCTAATTTGCATAACACATCTCTGGCAGTTTGTTTCAAGCATAATTTTAAAATCTCATTTTGTCTGATGTGATTATTATTTGATATCTCTTTTAAGGAGATATATCATGAAAAATGTTCCTCCTATTTGCAGCTGACAACTTGGTTCAGATATAAGCAAAGGGATATAACAATAAATATATGTTTAAAAATAAATGTATTTTCTAAAATTGAGTACACGAAAAGTAAAAATGACAGGAAGGGTAAAACAGTACAGCTCTTACTGGTTATAAATAAGTTCAAGTTTCAGGAAGCTAGTTGAAAGGTCTGAAGAGAAATTTATCTCACACTGAATATCAAAAATAAAAAAAAATTATAACAAAGTCAAATTGAATACAGAAACAGAGGTGAAGGACTTCTGCTGAGAAAAGTAAAATGAAAAAAAAAAAAAAACCACAACCCAAACCCAACCAATCAAAAAAACACTGAAAGAAGTTATCTGGAACTGGAAATCCCTGGAGCTGGTATTAGTTTGGGCTGCCTGACTTTGCCAGCTCAGTAGTTCAACAGATGATAAATGAAGTAGCCCTGTATAAGAAGCCAGAAACTTTCAAAACCTCAGGTGCTTACTCCTTTTCAATCAAGTCAACAGATAGTCAAGTAACAATTGAGACACCTATTCAGGACATACCAGGGAAAGGAAAATGGAAAGAACAGGAAGGGCAAGAAAACAAGGAGGTGAGTGTATGCTATTTCTCAGCACTTAAACAAAACCTTACTAAAAGACCTAAACAAGCACAATTCAAAGTTTTTTATTTTTTTTTAACTCCCAGTTCACATGCTATAGTCTGAAAGACAGAAATGTATGGACACTGTATTTTTGAAATTCATCTACTTTCCTAGTAGGAAAGGCAGACTGTATAGTTTTTATTTGGCATGTGTATATTTTATATGTGGTCAGTATAAGGTTTTAAACATCCTGTATTTTAGAGAAATCTTCCTTTTTTTTTTTTTAACTGGCATTTATTCAGGAATCTAGACTTTTATAATAATATAATAAAAGTGCAATGAGTGGGGAAAGGCTGACACTGAGAAGGGGGGATTGGAACTTGATGATCTTAAGGTCCTTTCCAACCCTAACTGTTCTATAATTCTATGATTAGATCTTTGTTTTTGCTTTGAAATCTCTTCTACAATGTGTGGGTGTGGCCATATCCAGGTAACAATGCCAAGCAACCAGTCATCCCTTAAAAACAGAAACACTGTAACTACAGTGATGCAAGCAACATGTGCTGCATAAGCCAATAATGGCTTAAGATTTTATTGACTGTATGAACTTCAATTATGTTTACTCTAAACTGTAACTTTTGTGCATGTTTTATTCACTTATTTATATTGTTAAGCTGTGGTTTTGAATTGAAAGTTTTTTGTTGAATTGAACCATGTTTTGTGCTGTCAGATTGTGTTCTCTCACCATCTCTACACGTGAGGATGAAGCAGATTTGCTATCTCATTGCAAAAACAATGCGTTTCAATTCTTCGTTAATGTAGGATGTTTGAAACAAATTTATGGGGCAAACTACATCTATAGCCTTGGCCAGAAAAGACATTCTTAGCTTTACACGCTGCCTGTTTTTTGCGCCTACGTATAGATAAAAAACCCCGTGATGAACAGATAGACAAACTTCTTGTGCAGAAGCACATAAGGGCCGTGTCTGCCCTACAAATGTCAAAATGAAACCTGTAGTTCATGGGGCCATCTGCAGCTGTAGGGTTGGCCCAGTACTTCCAAAACATAATGATCACTCTCTTGTGATCTTATGATGACTCTCTTAGGTATGGAGTAGTTATTTTTTTTCTTTTAATATTAAGAACTGAATCTTTGAATCCTAGGATGAGTATTTTTCAGCTTTTTTGTTTGTTTATTTTTTGTTTGGTTTGTTTTTTTCTTCCCCAGTTTATTTATTTCTTTACATTTTAATGTAGAAATAGCAGAAATTTAAAATATTAACAGCACTGACTCCACGCCTATGACCATCTATCTGAATTTTGCAAGGTTTACATCCCTTATGATTTTGGGAAGCCTGACACATGATTTTTTTTTACCTGTGTCAGTGATAATGCTTATACCACCGTAACAGTGATTTATAAAGAGATTGCCTGCTGTACCCTCTCACACCAGCCTTCCTGGGCCAGAGAAGCCACAGCAAGATGAACTGTGTGTCTCCATATGTGATCATAGAACTCAAAGAAATAGTGGGGTTTTTCTTCCAAGTGGAGACTATTACTGGATGTGATATATTAAATATATTTTAATATATTAATATATTTTAAAGGCCATAGTTCTTGCACAGGTTTCTGTCAAGGTTGATTTAGCCAGAAAACAAACTAACAAACTCTTTTGAGGGTTTCTTCAGAGCCCTCAACAAAAGTTGATTCTGCTTCATGGGGAAGCCTGATCCTGCGGTCTCGTCTAGTTGTCTTTGACAGACTTTAATGCTTTCCAGATCTGCTTTTTTCTCTACCCGATTTAAGAACAAACATACTACTTCACATTTACCGAGAAGGCCCCTTTAGAAAGAAGCGGAACCCAGAAGCTGTTGAAATGGGAATGTTTCTGCCATCCACCGCTAAAGACCCTATCCACGGCCCTGCACGGGAGTGGGGTGGGTGACGGGGACGAGACAAGGGGTACTTCTGTGGGGCCGTAGTGCTGAGGGGGACCCGCTGCAACCCTCCGGGGGTGACCCGCTCCCAGGAACCCCGGCGTAGCTCACCCGCAGGTGCAGATGTCGCACAGGCACCGCAGCCGCGCCATGCTGCCCGAGCCGCTCCGGCCGGTAACCAGGGAAGCTCTGCGTTGCGCGGCAACAGCGGCGTCCTCGGCGTGCGCGGCCTCCGCCAGCTTCCGTCCTGCGTCACAGATGGGCGGGGCGGAGGGGAGCGGGACGTGCGCAGGCTTCCGGGTGCTGGTGGCGGAGCTCTTAGGGAGCGCGGTGGGAGCTGCTCCCCAACGCACATCGGTGAGGGGCTGCGGGGGGCGAGCGGCGCGGCCTCCCCCTTCCTCACCTCAGACCCTTAAGGCACTCGCGCCCGGCGCGCCTGGTCGAGGCGTGGGAACACCAGGGGAGCTCCGCGTCCCTCTCCTGGGCATCGGCCCCTGTGGTGGCTGTGTGCCGGTGAAGCGCGGGAGGGTGCGAGCAGCGCCGAGGGAGGCGGTGGTGGCGGTGCCCCTGTGTGGGAGGCGCGGACGGTTGTACCTGCCGGGACAACTTCGGGTGCACAGAGCCGCGGGACTGTGCGAGCGTAGGAAATGAGAAACTGACCAACGCCAACCTCCCGGGGCGCGTTCATAACAGACACGGCCCCAGCCCTGTCAGTTTCAGCTGGCCGGGCGGAGGGCACATGGTGGCCGAGCAGCGCGGCGTGACGCACTCCTTGTGCCGGAGGTTTCACCGATGAGTAACAGCCGCAGCTGGCGTAGCAGTTAAAATAAAAAGGCTGTTTCTTAAGTTGTCTCCTAAGTAAAATACTTCCCTCCGTTCACAGTTGGGTAACCATGGTCCTCAGAAGTGTGGGAAAGATGGTTGGCCTTCAGAAGAAGACTTCTGGAATCCGGAATATCTGTATACTGGCCCATGTAGATCATGGTGAGGCGTGTTTGTGGTTGACAGGAAGCACCTCGTGAGGAAAAGCGTGTGTGTGATGGTGGTGAGATGTTTGGGTCGCTGTTTTTTTAAAGCAATAGGTTTTCACAGCTTTAGCTTTAAAATCCTTATTTTGAGAAGTAAATTTGCTTTATGCCCATTTCTGTAGTTCTGATGCAGCTTTTTAGAAATTAAAAGAGCATTACACTAATAATTTGGAGTAGTTGAAACTGAATATTTTTCACTTCTGTGATGCTGAATGTTGGCATAAACAAAATACATGGGTGTTACATTTCCATGTTTATTTAAGGGAAGAAGTTTGTTATGTAGGTGGAAATGTGTCTAATTGCATGATCTGTAAGGTTTTGGTGTTTGTTATTTCAGCTGCTTTTCCAGGGTAAGGTTGCATCCACTCTTCAAAAATAAGCTTGTATGTACTTAACAGGTCAAGTTGAATAATCAGTTTCATTTTAAGTTGCATTTTTGTGGCATTTTGAAGCCTTTATTAATGTTGGTATCTTAGAACACAATATGTTGTCGCCATTCATAATATCATGGTATCCTTTTCCACTGTCTCTATTAATTTAAACTTTTTCTTTTCAGGCAAAACTACTCTGGCTGATTGTCTAATTTCTAGCAATGGAATAATCTCCAGCCGCTTGGCAGGCAAGGTAAGTGTTTTACTGTCATTTATAACAAGCTTCTGGTATGTACGTGCTGCAATTGTGAATCAGAGATAATTAAGGAAATTCTCTTAGTCTTGCTCAACCTCATTTTCTCGCAGTTGTACTTCTTGGCTCGTGAAGATAATTCTGCAGATTTATCATCTCTTCTTTTGTTTCTGTACTCAGCTGAGATACCTAGACAGTAGAGAAGATGAGCAGATCCGAGGGATAACCATGAAATCTAGTGCAATTTCACTGCACTTTGTGGAAGGTAAGGTGTTGACGCTGGCGAATATAAGCTTTAATACATATTTTGGTTAATTTTCCCTGTCTCTTTGTCGGTTTTGTTGAGATCTTTTTGTATGCAACTTTTCCTTTTGTGTTTCTTAGTGCTAGGCTATGATGCTGCAAAGGCTTAGGCATCTATTCATTCAACTGTTAGCCAAGAAAAGTTCTGTCTCAGGTTTACAGACACCATCTTCAATCATATCTCTGAATGGAGGCTATATGAATAGTTGCCTTTATCTTTTTATTTTAGATCTTAATGTTCATATTTTGATCTTAGATCTTGAACTAATGTTGCTTGAAGGCAAGACCTTTTAAAACCCAACAAATTTGAGATGATTTTGTAGTTTAGTATGCTTCTGTGTCAAGGTGCCTGTTACACTGCTATAAATTGTTTAGAGGTGTTTTTTTCATAATGTAGTTACAGTGTCATCTTTTTTATGACTCCATGTTCCTCACTAGTCTTATTCTCAGCTAAGCAAATGGAAAACATGGAATACATTACTAACAGGCTTGTACAGAAAAAAGAATAGCTGTTTGCATGAACAGAAAAGCCACTGTTAGTCATTCCATTTCAGCTACAGCTGATTATAAAAATAGTTGAAATCAAAGATCTTCCAGCTCAGTATTGTAAACCGGCTGTTTTATTGTTGACTCTGAAATGACCTTACTTTTAATGGTTAAAACTTCTTATGTCTGTTGTATTGAAATTTAGACTCCAGAAAGTTGTTTAATCTTATTTTGGTTATGGCTGATGATAAATGTAGTGAGTTCATTAAAAGTTGACTGGAGTCTCCACTAAGCAGCTTTTTTTTTTTTTTTTTTTTTTTTGATGTAGTGTAGAAAATACTAAAAACTTCTCCTGTATTGATATCTTGAAGATATTCTACTAATATGGAGTCAAAACCATGTTTTAAAAAGAGCATGAGGTTGAAATGAGGTATTTGATCAAGAATACAGGGTTTATTTTAATGACATTCTGTCATGATTAATCTTTAAAATGCAGACTAGCGCAGTCAGTTTTGTTTTAGCTAGTGATCTACTTGTAATGCTACTATAAGCTTGCTCAGGATTAGAGTTTTTGATTTTGGTTGTTCGGTTTGGTTTTGGTCTTAAATTCCTGAAGGTAGTTGGGTACTAAAAGATGAAGTCTGGCATAAAGAGTGAAATTAAACCAAAGCCACTAGATGTTACTCTGCTCACAGTTGTCCTGATCTATTGGAGTTTTTCTTAAGTGTAATGGTTACTGTAGATCTGGTCCTTAGAAATTGCTAATAGCTTAAGCAGTGCAACCAGGTGGCTGAAAAAAATGTTTTTGAAAAGTGCTCTGAAATACTAATTTATTGTTTGATCCTAGGTGATGAGGAGTATCTGATTAATTTAATAGACTCTCCAGGGCACGTGGATTTTTCTTCAGAAGTATCTACTGCTGTCCGACTCTGTGATGGTTGCATCATAGTGGTGGATGCTGTTGAAGGAGTCTGTCCACAGGTGAAATAAAATATATTAAATAGAGAAAGAAGGTAGAGAAGATAAAGCAAAGTCTTAAGTGTATTATTTAGAAATAAAAGATGAGCTGGTTTAAGAAATTTTGTAAAACTTAATAAATGACAGTGTAATTGAGGCATGAAAGAGTAGTTAGTTTCAGAGTTGTGCTGAAAAACTGAGCAGTGCTGGTGAGTGGGTCTAGTGACATAGGGTTGAAGCAGTATTACCTACTTCTTAGGTAGTGGAACATTTGTATTGAAAAGAAATAAATGTCTTACGTGGAATTAATTTCATATCCTTACGTGTGCTCTTAGGGTATTGAAGAAATATGCAGAATAACATTGATATTGCTTTTTTTATGGCTTACTTTTTATAAAGTGTTATGTTGTTGTGAGCATTTTTGCTGTGGAACTGCCATTCTGCAGAATTTTATAATAACGCTATGTAATCAAATTTCTGGTTTGACTTTCAAACTGTCCTTTACTATCTGTTTAGTTACATTTTAGAATTATATTGTAATGTTCTTTAACTTTGGTGGTATCAAGCTTTCTGTAATGTTTTGTTTTTTTTTTTCTTGACAACTTCCTTCTTAATAGACTCAAGCAGTTCTGCGGCAAGCGTGGCTAGAAAATATACGTCCAGTATTGGTGATCAATAAAATTGATCGCTTGATTGTGGAGCTCAAGCTCACCCCTCAGGAAGCATACTCGCACCTTAAGAACATCTTAGAACAGGTATTGGTGCTATTGTGTCATGTTCACACAGCAGATTTTGTTGAGGGTTTTTTCTTCCCCCTTTTCTCTATTTTTGAATGGAGAGACACTGTGATTTTCACTGCTTTATAGCTGCAATATATTTAGTGCAGCAGAACCATTTTTTTTCAAGCATCATAACATCTAGTCTAATAATAAACACTGAGATACATTCATTTCTGATCAGGTTTGATTTTTATTCAGAACGCCCGTGATAGAGCATTAAATGCCTCTTCACAGGTCATCAGGAAGAATCTTCATTTTTAGAAATAATATGCTGAATGTTTTGTTCTTCCTATTAAACTGGCTCAACTTCTTTGAAGATAGACAAATAACGTGTTTCACCTGCCTCTGATATTGATGGGTTTATGCAGGCATGAAGTTAATTCATCTTTTAAGTCGTAAATTATTTTCAAACTTTGTGATTTGGTTGCGCCCTGAACTTATTTTTAAGAACTTACCTGCCTGGTTTCTCTTTGCCCTCCTGTTGTTTGTTTGATGTCAGTAACAAGTTTCTGTTTCACCATTAGTTGTTATGAGATACAAAGTGTATTATATGTGATACTCTATATCTCATTCAGTCATGATATGGCTGACTTTGAGTTGGAATGTACATGGTATTTTAAATCAAAATTTTAGTCTCATCAAACTCCCTGTTCTGTTCGAATGGGCAGGATTAGACACACGAGGTCTGTGCTTTAAATTGCAAAATGAATCACAGGCATGCTGTCTTAAAAAAAGCCAAACTTCTCTTTATATTTTGGAGGGGAGAGGGAATTGCATTTTAATTGCAAGGGTTGTGAAAGAGTGATTGAATCTTGGGGTGTTTTACGTATCCTTTTGTAGATCAATGCAGTCACTGGAGCACTCTTTACCTCTAAAGTCTTAGAAGAAAGGGCTGAGAAGGAAACAGAAAGTGAAAATGTTTCAGACAGTGCACCAGGAGATCAGATTTACGACTGGAGTGCTGGATTGGAAGATACTGATGATTCACATCTCTATTTTTCACCAGACCATGGAAATGTGGTGTTTGCCAGTGCAATTGATGGCTGGGGTTTTGGGTAAGCCTGGGGTT